AACAGTCTTATTCAGTCGGTTATGGTCCAGTTCGTCAGGCGAGTCTGCAACTTGTCATGACATGCCTGGCGGCTTCGTGCCCTCGCCGGGCGATGTCCCCGGTACGTCTCTCGTCCTTGTCTCGGCCATTGATAGCTCATAGCATCCAGTCGGTGTACGGTCAGTATCCTAGACTTTGACAATCAATGCCGTGGTTGCTGAACTTATATGAAGCGTATATATATGGACAGCGGGACGATAGAAAGGGACGCACACTCAAGCAAGCGGTCACTTAAAGTGACCGTTGAGTTTGAATCTCCCCCGGGGTTTTCTCAGATTACCCACAAGGCACTGCTGCTGCCGGAAGTGCTCTGCGGATCCGTCGAAAATACCGAAGTGGATCTTTGAGAGATGCTCGATTTTGACACCGGCGAAGGTTGTATGTGAACCATGCAACTTCTTGTCTGATACGCAAAGTTTCCAATCAGCAAAAATCAGTACAGTCACGAATCCGAGCAGACATTTGCTTATGCGACGCGCAAAGGCAACGTTACAATGTACGTATATGGCAATTTACGGGGCGCGCCCTCTTGTGGCGATTGTAATTTCAACAATTTGCGGATGCGTACGAAAACAAATTTGGATATTTAAGATATCCCCAGATTACCCACAATTCGCTTCTGCTGTAGGAGTGGGCCCGCGGATGCGTACGAAAACAAATTCGGATATTTAACAAATCCCCAGATTACCCAGAATTCGCTTCTGCTGTGGAGTGGGCCCGCGGATGCGTACGAAAACAAATTCGGATATTTAACAAATCCCCAGATTACCCACAATTCGCTTCTGCTGTGGAGTGGGCCCGCGGATGCGTACGAAAACAAATTCGGATATTTAACAAATCCCCAGATTACCCACAATTCGCTTCTGCTGTGGAGTGGGCCCGCGGATGCGTACGAAAACAAATTCGGATATTTAACAAATCCCCAGATTACCCACAATTCGCTTCTGCTGTGGAGTGGACGCGGGGATGCGTAAAAAAGCAAATTCAAATATTCAAGAAATCCCTAGATTACCCACAATTCGCTTCTGCTGTGGAGTGGGACCAAGGATGTTAAAAAAAAACTCCCAAGAATACGAGTATCCTTGTATCCAGTTTATAGTGGATTGTCTCACTTATATCTATGTTATAAACGGTAGTCCAAAAATATGACAGGTCATGACCCCTAAAAATGTGACATCTCCTATCCTAACGACGTACTATATATATTTCTAACGTATCCGTAACGAGTAAGTATCCAAACGGATACCGTGTCTGCATCCGCTGCGAAGTAAGTATCCCTACAAAATGCCGCATCTGCATCCGCTGCGAGTTACGGATGCATACGTATGCGTTACGGATGTTTGTGGGATCCGCAACCCTGGGGATTCTTGGTGTGGGATTAGCGATCCTTGGGATTCTTGGGGATCCGCGCAGCATCCGCAAGGAGATGCAAATTCGCATCCTTGGGATCCGGCTGCATCCGAAGTCTTTTCGCCCAGTGTTACTTGACTTATGTCGGGTGACAGTCCTTTTCTTCTCATCAGTCCATGGCTGTCCAGTAGCTCCTGTCCTTCAGAGCCTTCCCCATGCCATGACAGCTGAAGACCGGTGTCCCTTTATTTGCAACACATCTGAGTAGGTGAGGGGCGGTCCTCCAGGCGTCCTTCTCCCATGTTCTGGGGACCATAGTACAACAGTGGAGACTATTTCCTTGCTGTTTCTAAGAGAGTCTCCGGCAAACCGTTAACTTTGAGACATACATTGACCATCGCCTCTTCTGTTGTAGCCCGGCGCTGTCGGCATGGGTGGAGGGAACACAACAACCACTGCTACAAGCTGATTAACGAGAAAGTCAGCTTCAGTACAGCGAACCAAAGGTGCAAAGGAATGGGCGCGAATCTCGCTTCTATCAGGGACGGCCAGGGGAGCAACTTCATTGCAAGTATCATATCTCGTGAGTATTGTGCAACTCTTTGGCTACATTTCCACAGGATGGACATCCAATCTAACTTCATCACTTCCGAGACGAAAGTATTGTTTTGGGTGACGATTTGAATGTTTGGGTTCCAGACTTGGAAGGATGGTGTAATGGTAGTGTAATTCATCGTAGTTGTTTTATCCAGAATGTATTTAATTTAT